AGCCAGGAAAGTTTTCCCGAAGACGGGGTGCAAGAGAAGTTGAGTGACATCTATCGGCGAGATACTGGACGGTGGCAGAGAGGTAACTGGTGGAGGAGTCGGCGCGGGGAGGGTCGACGGTGGAAGAGCGGACGGCGACATGGTTAGGAGGATGCGGCGGTCGGAGAAGTCGAAAGGGGTAGAGAGAGAAAAGTAGAGAGAGGAGAGCGCATTTTTCCTTATCTAGGTTAATTGTATGATTATGTATGATTGTGCTAGGTTAGTTGTATGATTGTGCTAGGTTAGTTGTCTGATGGTGCTAGGTTAGTAGTTCCTAGGTTAGTTTACTGATGGTGCTAGGTTAGTTGTTTGCCTGTGCTAGGTTAGTTGTCTGAATATGCTGGGTTAGTTGTCTGATGGTGTTATGTTAGTAGTTGCTAGGTTAGTTGTCTGATGGTGCTAGGTTAGTTGTCTAGTTTTGCTAGTTTAGTTGGCTGATGGTGCTAGGTTAGTTGTTTGTAGTTGCACCTACATGATGAAATTTGCAGGGTAACATAGAAAAACTTTGAAAGGCCATAACTTTGCGTAGAAAGCTCCGTTTTGGACGATTTATTTTTGATTTGGAGTAGCTCGACGAGATCTACGCAGCTGCAAACTGCTGAAGGCGGTTTGGCCGACCGAATTTAAAAAAAAAACGCCTTTTTCTTGCTTTACTTTTATTTTTAAGAAAAAAAATACGTTTTTTGTATTTTTAAACCTCTATATCTCCCCAATCGAGACTCATTTTTCGAAGTTTTTTTTTCATAACAATGCTCTCAACCTCTATTTTTTATACCAATTAGAAAAAAAAGTAGAAAATGCATAGTCTCTGCAGTTGCTAGGTTAGTTGTCTGATGCTGCTAGGTTAGTTGTCTGATTGTGCTAGGTTAACTGTTTGATTGTGCTAGGTTAACAGACCGCATTTTAAGAGCAGGCCTCATTTTAAGAGTTGGCCTCATTTGATCTGCCCCCTATATATATATATATATGCCCGATAATTATTTAATTTGTCGTGCGATTAAACCAAACCCGAGAATGAGTTGTTATCTCGAACCCGCATGTGAACCGAACCGCCCAAAAACCGTTTATCTCTAATCCTGTGCCTGTGAATTGTCTTGTTGACAAAGATATTATTAACCTAACAATACATATATATATATATATATATATATATATATATATATATAAGTATCTTATTTTCCTCTCATCTGTGCATCACACCCGCAACCTTTTTCGATCTCGTGAGAAAAACCGCAAAAAACTCAAACTTCACTACCTACCTCACAATCGTCGATCTCTGACCATCCTCACCACCCCACCAGTCGCTGCCATCTCCCTTCTCCTCTGCGAAGCTTTTCCCGGTGATCCTCTGCCACGCCGCGAATTGTAGCGCCTCGTGATCAGCAGCAACCGCCGACAACCATCGAGCACCGCTGTACCCCCGACGTCCGTTGTTTGAGCAAGCCCTACCGTGCTCCTCCTCCGATCATCTTGTCTGCACCTGCTCCATCTGCGAGCAACCCCAACGGCGAGAAGCTCTCTTTTCCGTGAACAGATCTCCATCGCAATTGTCGGACCACCGTTCTTAGCCGTCGAGTCCCGTCGGAGTCTCAAGCGTAGCCGTTGAGTCCCGTCGTGTTCCGTCGGAGGACTGAATAAAGCCGGCGAGTCCCAGCGTATTTCTTCCCGCTGCACAAGAAATTCAGGCCTCCTGCAGTCGCGAGTTCCGACGTGTAACCGCAAGAGCTGCCGTCATTTTCCTCGCGAGTCTCTTCCCCACGAGCCGCTGCTCCTCCTCCTCGCGCCCGCGCGACCACCCGGCAGCCCAGCTCCTCCGCGTGTAACACCCCGAGTTTTATTAATAAAGGAAAGTACTAGCTTTTAGTTTTAAGCTAGCCTTTATTAATAAATAATCATGTTCATGTTCAAGTTCAGGTTAATCAGCCAGTTATATTCTAAGTGCGACTATTAGTCGATAAATTATTCGGTTAATTATTTCAGTAACCGAATAAGTTTCCAGATTTAATTCCGATTGGTTTCATTAATTAATGAATTCGGAATTAATTAGTTAAGTTGACAAATTATCCGGAATGTTGATATTCGGATTAATCGTCCAAGTCATGAATATTCGAATTAATTTTCGAATATTACGTTTATGTTCGGAACTAATTATTCCAGTCAAGATTCTTCGAAATTATTTTCGAAATCATGTTTACGTTCGGAATAATCTAGGTAATTAAGTACCAAGTTTAAATAAATCTTGTATTATCCATTAAGTTAAGCTTAATTAAAGAATTTATCATTCCTTAATGCTGTAATAAATTTTAGAAAATGCATGGCAAATAAGCATGCAAGCTTAAAGCCATTAATCATGTCAAATAATTCCATTATTTTCCGTAAGCAATTTGGAATGTTTATGTGGAATTTATCATGCAAATCAAGCTTGAGGTGGCTATCATTGGAGATTAGTGATGACTAATGAGGTGCTTATGATGACTAAGCCATTTTGTGTTCATTTAAGCCTTATGTCATGGCAAATGGTGCTCTTTCATTGGTCACCTCTTAAGCATAATTTTTCCCATCTCTTTACTCCTCAAGTTTCGGCCTCATATATATGCTAATTGTTGGGATGATTTTTCCTCAACACATTCAGCATATACTAAGTATAATTCATAGAGAGTTAAAGTAGAGAGGAGGTGAGAAAGTGAGGGAGAGTTCACGCAAAAGCTAGCTTACCGCACGGCGCACGCGAGAGTACCGTACGGAGTAATCGTACGCCCGCACAAGGAGGCTCTGGTTAAGCCGAGTAGTTAGTGCGATCAGTCAAGGGTTTAGGAAGGTAACTTAAGTTTACCTTTATTTGTTCATGTTAAAGTTATGTTATTTCCGATTTGTTCACGTTCATGGCACGGCTTTAAGCCGTTCGGCCGTGCGGGTGTATAGCGAACGTGTTCATGTTTTTAAGTTGAAATCTCTCGAGTAGTGGTCATGTAATCAACCTTTTATGCAATATCATGTTCAGTCAGATTGATTTGTTTGAAGAATGTTCATGTTTGTGCGGTAGATCGGCCGAGGGGCGTGGTCGGGGCATGTAGCGCGTACCACGGGCCGCGTATTGTTAATGTTTGCATTAAGTGTTTAACCTTCGATCAATTCATGTCAATATATTCAGCAAATATTATGTTTCATGTTCTGTTGAGTTTGAATTGTAGGGAGAGAAGTCAGTTTGGTCGTAAAATAGCTTATCGTTGTTGGCGGCGCACGGTGCGCTCGCCGCAGCCAAGTCCAGCCTTTCATGCAAAATTCATGTTTTTAGGTTATGTCAGCATTTATGTTCATATTCAGTCAGTCTATGTCAGTTGATGTTAGTTTGGTCGAGAGAAGTTGCCGGACGGCCGGTAAGGGCCGGCCGTGGCCGCGCTGCCCGCACGCAGCGGCAGCAGCGCATCAGCAGTCAGTGATACGGAAGTGGTCATCAACCCCGGCGAGTCCGAAGGAGAAGGCGACGATGGTCTCGCTTTATGGCTAGAGAATATGTTGGAAGAGCCATCAAGCCCGATATATCGCCCATCAGGCAAAAGGGACTGGCCAATAGGATGTGGTCCACGGGCCGAGTTGAAGGTTAAGAAGTGCCGGACCAAAAGACGACGCTAAACAAAGGCACAAAAGGCGAGCCAATGTTGTGGGCCGTGCACGAGGAAGAAACGGGCGTGGCATTCAGAGTTCGGAAGACGGGGAAGGCTAGGAATGGAAGATGGTTGGATATGGCGTGCAGGTGACTGCATTGGGTTGGATGGTTGGGATCCATGGCCGTCAGGAGAACCACTGGAGTCAGGGGACAAAGGGATCGATGAGTACCGGCTATCGGGCGTATGGAGCGCATCGTGCGGTGATGCGCGCAAGAGGTCGAAGGGCCGAGGCGTTGAACGGAGAAGCGGCGCTGAGATGTTGGACGCAAGTGATGCGCGATCATGCGCAGGAGGTAGGCAAGCTGCGGGGGTCGGCGATACGCATGGAACCGCGGGTGTACGCGAGTGCGCGATAGGCGATCGGGACATGGGCATCGATGGTACGCGCGAGCGGGCAGGCGAGCGTGAGAAGGATGCGGGAGCATCGAGCGTGGGCAGCAACCGCGCAAGTGGCGAAGACGCGCGCGAACAGGCCGGCGGCGAGGGCGCGCGGGCGGGAGCGCGCGAGTGGGGCGCACATGCACGAGGCCTAAACCTTGCGAGCTTAGGAGTGCCGAGCGATATGGTGCACGCGCGGGGAGGAGTCAGCGACCACCAGGAGTGCGCAAGGGATGACGCGTGCGCGGACGGACAAGGCCCAATCCGCGCGGGACTAGGAGAAGCTGGGGCAGCGTGCGGGGCGCGCGCGAAGCCGCGCGCGACGAGAAATAGGCAACGCGATGAGGCGGCGCGCATATGAGGCGGCCGAAATTAATTGGGGCGTGTGTTTGGAATTGTTTGGAGTGCAAGCCAAGCAAGATCAAGATCTAGTCAATTTAGGACTCTAGATATTTAGTTTCCTTCTTGCACAATAATATCTAGATTGTATAGGTTATTTAATATTTAATTGCTTTAATTAGTTTCCTAGGTAGATTAGAATTAGTCATAGTTAGGATCTATAAATAGGGATGTTCCCTCATTGTTTTTCATGTCGAAGAAGAGAATAGAAAAAGAACGTTTGTTCAAACCGTGTGTTAGGGTTCGTGAGAATTCAATCATGCAACCGAATTGGTGAGGCTAAGACCCAAGCCAGTTCAAAGAATTAGAGAGGCTAAGACCCGATCTATTCGAGAGTGTAGCGAGGCTACTACCCGAGTGAACTCAAGTATCGTGAGAGAGTTAGGCTAATAACCGAGTCGATCACACCTATCGTCTAGAGCAAGGCCGTGGCGAAGCCGTGATCGAGACAAGTCGAGGGAACGCAACACCTGATCCTTCATCAGTCAGCCAGCGCGACTGGCAGCGTACGCACAGGCCCGCGAGGCGCTGCGCACTGCCTATCCGCAACGGCAGTTGCTGGCAATGCCCAGCGGCACGCCAGCCAGTCACCGTGCACGCCAGTGTACGCGTGCACGTTCCCGTCACCTGCTGCGGTACGCGACAACGACCAGCAGCATCAGTCGTGCCTGTGCCCGCGCACATAGTGCGGGGCAGCCCACAGCTCGACGCTGCGATGCGCCAGGCGCACGCATGCGTCCAGTCAGCCGTCAATTGCGCCCAGGTGCCG